AGCCCGATGCGGGACTCGATCCCGGGACTCCAGGATCATGACCTGAGCCGAAGGCAGTCGCTTAACCGACTGAGCCACCCAGGCGCCCTAAAAAATTTTTTTTAAATCTAAAACTAACCAACCAAACAAACTGAGAATGAAGAAGCAAAGCAAAGGTCAGCGTATTTTATTTTTTTAAAGAAAAGGTCAAGTGTACTCAAGGGAAAGCATCTATACAGAAGGGCCTTTCTATAACATGATTCTTAGGTTCACATGCCAGGTCATGTTTTAAAGCTGAAACACGGCTCTAATGAATGTTTACAGTGAAAGCTTCTATTATGACAATGACTAAAAAACCCAGAATAACTCTTTGAAAAGGTAAAGAAATGTAGACCTAATCCTGCATTGCCGTAAGATCCTCAATACATTTACATTTCTTTTTTTAAAGATTTTATTTATTTATTTGACAGAGAGACACAGCGAGAGAGGGAACACAAGCAGGGGGAGTGAGAGAGGGAAAGCAAGCTTCCCACAGAGCAGGGAGCCCAATGCGGGACTCGATCCTAGGACTCCAGGATCATGACCTGAGCCGAAAGCAGTCGCTTAACCAACTGAGCCACCCAGGCGCCCAACATTTAGGAAGTCTTGAGAGCTATACAGTCTTAGTAGATACTATTTTTAAAAATTGTACTCTTGGTATTTGAGTAGTAATTCTCAACCAGGATTAAAAATACATGTACCTGGACCCACCCCAGGGATTCAGACTCTGTAGGTCTGGGAGAGGGCCTGGACTGGTTTATTTTTAAAAAGCTCCAAAGATGAGTGCAATAGACACCCTATATCTACAGCTGAGAACCACCACTACAAAGAGAAGGCAGGACAGGGGTCGCTCAGAATTCTGCTATTGCAGCATTGCTTTCAGATAAGTGGCACTGGGAACACCTGCAATTTGTTAAAAATGCAGAATTGAGGAGCACCTGGGTAGCTTAGTCGGTTAAGCATCCGACTCTTGACCTCAGCTCAGGTCTTGATCTCAGAGTTGTTAAGTTCGAGCCCTGTGTTGGGCTCCATGCTGGGTGTGAAATCTACTTAAAAAAAAAAAAAATGCAGAATTGAGGGATATACCCCATAACTAATGAAAAAGAATTTGTGTTTTAACATGTATTACTTGTAAGTACTTCTCTTAAGTTTGAGAAACACTGTTGCAGAACAATATCCTTATACTGTTTTAAAAGCACTGGAACTTTTTCTTTTTCCAAGTGAAATCTTATATGAAACCCCTCTAGGGGCTTCTGGGTGGCTCAGTTAGTTAAGCATCTGCCTTTGGCTCAGGTCATGATCTCAGGGTCCTGAGACTGAGCCCCACGTCAGGATCTCTGTTCAGTGGAGTCTGCTTCTCCCTCTCCCCTCTGCTTCTGCTCTCTCTCTCAAATGAATAAATAAAATCTTAAAAAACAAAAAAAAAGAAACCCCTCTAATATAAAATCGATAAAAAGCATTATTATTCTGGTTGATGAAGAAGGGGGAGTCCAGGGCCCCATCTGCTTAATCTCTACCTAAGTTTCCTGTCCTCTATCCCACCCTACCAGTTTGAAAACCACTCTTGAAATACACATTGAGAAGACAAGTCGGCTCTGGATCTTATCTGTAAGTTACTTTTAAAGCAGTAGCTGCAGAGGTATCAGTGTAACTCAAAATACTTTCCACAAGTACTTCTCACTCCTTTAAAGTACACTAAATAAAGGCAAACATTCACACACCCAGTGGTGTATTACAAGGGACTAGGTTCATCTTGAAGTAGGGGTGATGACGGTGGCTAGCATTTATTGAGCATTTACTAAGTGACAAACACTATTCTGTACGTGTTTTGCTTATCTAATCCTCACATAGTAGTCTTTAAGATAGGTGTTGTTATCGGCCCTCCCACGTTACAGATGTTAAGTAAGGTCTCTAACAGTTACATAGGCAGTG